CCTGCTGAATTCACTATTTTTGCACACCTCTTCTTCCTATTAGAAAAAAAAAGAGGGCTGCAGTTTGTCCTCTCACTTCCATTGCAGAGATGGGCAAGAGAGACTCATCTAAAACCTCCTCCTCCATTTACAACATCAAACTGTGCCTGGCTGTAATGATCTTTGCAACATTTAGCACAACCCCTGCTAGTCTGAAAATAGTATTCAGCGTTTGATTTGGAGAGCCTGTTATTATTTGCATTGTTACTTGTGTGGCATGGTATTTGTTATGCTGTATTTTTCCAACTAAATCTGACCCGGTGGGACATAACACAATGCAGAGCTAGAATCCACTCCCATAATATCACTAGAAACCATTTTGGAGATTAGCTATTCAGTGAGTATTTGCTACATCATTTATTGGAAGATGTATATATGTATATAACTTGCCTGTGGAGAGCTTATGACCACAGATACTGAATGCCTTGTAATTTACTGCCTGTGCGTATCTCCGTTAAATTATATGGACAGAAACTTAATGGCAGAAATTTAACAAGTTGTTTTTGCTGAAAATTTGACATAAACTACTATTGTTTTTATTTGCTTTACTACTATTACAAAGCCAGTTTACACTGCTAATTTCTAAACCACTCAAATAGTATTTCAAAGCCAAATGTTTTCCTTGGAAACAGCATTTTATGAGGCTTTGGGCAGCAATGTGTGCATTGTATTGGGCTTCATCAGCTGCAAAGTGAGAGAATATAGCCTGAGGAACTTTCTCTTTGCAACAGACTAGGTGGTTTCACTCCCTAAGCTTTAATCATCTGGTGCCTAAAGAAAGCTGAAGATTTTGCTTATAGAACAGTTTGCAAGTTTACAAAATCAAAGTTGCTTTCCTGATAAATCTAAAATTTATTTTCTTTTCTACATTTACTACTGTTGTCAGGGGTCATTGAATAGAATTATTTATTCTCCTTTCAGAACAATATTATGTTTCTCATGGAAACAGAAAGTAAGAATTAAGTAAACGCCATGTGGTGAAAAAGTTCAAGTGTAGCTGAGCTTAAGAAATACAACTTTGCAGTCACAAGACAGGAGATAGAGGAAAAACTGAGCCTAATTCTTTTTCTGCTCAGGTAGTACTTGGACAGTGAGGACCAACCGGACTGTAAGTAGGTACTTTGTCAATGTAAAGATTTAATATTACACAGAATAAATTAATAAAAAGAGCAAGTGTCTAGACACTGGACAATTTCAGGTGATCTTTTTTGACTCCTAAGTGTCCTACAATAAGCAGAGAGAAAAACATGAGGCATAAGAAAATCAATTTTTTTTTTCAACTACAGTATTGCCAATCACCAGAGCATGTTATAGGTAAAACTGTATACATTTTGTGACAACAAAAATAAACACCAGACATACAGAAGAGTGTGTGAGGCTACACGTTAAGTGTGCTTTTTCTGCTTTGCTTTCTCCTGAACCCAGTGTAATATCTCTTACATACATAGCACTGCTGCTGACTTCACTGGGACAGTTGGATGGAGAGAAGTTCTGAATTAGATGCAGGATTAAGCTAAATAAAGCTAAAGAAAAAGTATGTTCTATTTTTGTGTCCAAAATCCTGTCATATTCAAACTTTAGTAAGTGTCAAGTGTCTGATAATGCCAGCTCCTCATTTTAAAAACCTGTAAACGTCTTCTCCCCTTCATCATAGTTAGGACATGGATTACAGTTTTGCACTTCACAGGGGCATTCGCATTCGCATTGCTAAGCACCGAGCAAACTATTACAGAGTAACTGCAACATTTGATCAGTGAAATGTTATCACCCATTCTGCAAGAATCCCGGGTGATGGAGCTTTCACCTCTTTCCTTTGTGCTTCTCTTTCAGCTTCTGATATGGCTGCGGAGCAGGGACAGATTCTTGTAATTGCCACTGCTGCTGTTGGTGGATTCACTCTCCTGGTCATCCTCACTTTGTTCTTCCTGATCACCGGGAGGTAAACGACACTACAGTGTTCTCATTTACTCAGGGTCAGAGTCATCCAAAACTAAGAATTTAAGAATAATAGTTAAGTCATTCACCACGTTTTCAGTGCTGAAATAAGGGTTAGGCATAGCGGGGTGAATGTCCTCTTTGTTCAGCACTGCTTATACTCACAGTTCTTTTGTGAGAGCTGTTTTTTGTAAAAAAACAGTTTGGGGAGCTAAGCAATTATGTGAAATCAGGAAATAGCTTGGCTGTTTTTAAAATAAGTTTCTGGACCTCTTGCCTGCAGAGCGAGAATTTAAAAATACAATGTACCTGCACCCTCAAGGTTCTGACATTAGAAGATGAAAAAACAAAAAACCGCAGTATTTTTTACAAAATCTCATAACCATCAATTGCAAAGCTTTGGAGGATGTAACCTTAGGATTTTTGATGTCTTGGGGTTGGCAATGTAGCTTGCTAAAGGCACTTGGGTGGGCAATTTTTTATTACTTTTACTATATTAAATTTGTAGGAAGAATCATACACAATTATGTATATATTTTATATGCACATTTCTGCATCTATTAAGAGGAAATATAGGAATTACATAATGAAATTAAACTAAGGAAAACTTCACTCCAAAATATTAGCATGATTCTACTGCCTGTGATATCACTGGTGAACAGAAAATAGCTTCCTGAAGGTCCTGTTTTATTGCTTTTTGGCTTTTTTTTTGTTAATTGGATTGAAGATATCCCAATTAAATCTACATTATAGCAGTACTTGTTGCACTGGCAGGAGAATTCACCAGTCTGGACAATGATTATTTTTTATAACTACGCTGATTCTTATACTTACAATTCTTTTAGTACAGTGCTGATTGTCCACCTTGCTTCCGTTGATGTGTTGATCAGGATCAAATAATGACATTATGCAAATTGGATGAGAAAGCATTTTGATTTGAGTGGCCAGATGCCATGCTCAATTACACACTGAAGGTTTTAAGGGAACTCACAAATTCTAATTGGACTTGCTAAAAAATGCACATAGAGGTCGGAACATCAGTCTTTGCTGGAGCTCAGATTCCCACAGGCGTAGCTGCTTCCATGGTGCCTTGTTTCCTTTCTCACTGAGCCTCTGGGTGTTTCCTGTGTGATTTCAGGACTTCACCTGCTTCCACCAGGAAGCAAAACACAATTTAAAAGGACAAAGACATCATGTCCCCGTCTTCGCTGTGTGACATCAGTGGCACCGCAGTGCTGCCATGGATCACGAAGGCCTAAACTCTGATAGACTGATATTCTGTAGAGGTATGGGCCTTCGAGCAGAGGAGTTAAGGCTCATAGCTCCTGCAGTAAGCTCTGTAGGGGGGGTTGCGTGGGCTCTGGCCCCTCGCTACCCTTTTCCCCTCTCCCTCCTTCAGACGCATAAACCAGCTGGTGGAAGAGCCTCCATGTGAGCAGGATTCTTCATGGAGTTTCCTTCTGCCTGGCTTGGGGACAGGAAAAATCCAGAGTCGGGATAGGATTCTGCACTATTCCTGTCCTGGTTTAGAGCTTGTGTTTACACATAGAGAAAAGATGTTACACTGACTCCTCTGAATGTGATAATGGTCATCACAGATGGGGCTGATATCAACAGACGGTGCTGCGCTTTCAGATTTGTAATTAAGTTTCTGTTTTGTTGGTATAGAATTACCTCTAATTTGAAAAGAAAGTGAAGTCCTATCAGTGTAGGCTGGAGGTTTTATTTGCAGTACCCCAGCAACCAAATATGGCATGACCATTATATGAATTAATGCTCTCTCTGCTAAATAGTAAAACCAGTAAGGCTAACATTCTGTTGAAGTTAATGGGAGCAGTTAACATTGGAACATATTGTGACCTTAGATAATATTAGAAGCTAAGTAAATATTCCTACGATTATTACAAACACTGACAAACAGTAGGGTCTTTCAGAAGAGAGAGGAATTATTCAGACAAAGACAAACTTCTGGAGAAAAAGATTGTGTGGAATCCTTACGTGGACTCCTGAAACATAACTCGAACGCTTCCTTTAGAAAAAACTCACTCAACTCGGGAATGAAAAAAAATATGGAAATGGGTTTCTTTCTGTGTTTAGTTCTCCTGTTTGCTAATGTTAAGCATATCAGAGATTCTTTTAGCTTTCTAACATCTTACTCAATGGGACCAATTCAATTAGGTAAGATATTAATTCATTTTGAAGTGCTGCTTAAATGCGGTGATAAGAGTGTATTCTGCAGATGACAGAGCAAGAAAATTTTGAATAAATACTCAATTTACTCTAGGACTGGAGGCAAAATTCTGTGTGAAAAATGGGATTGGTACCCTACAGATGTGCTCTGCTTCACTGTTTAGAATTAGCAATTTGATGAGCTGTCGAGTCACAGGGCTGCTGATGAGTCTATTCATAGTGGAGAGGCTGGGTTAAATGAGCACTTGCCTCTGCACTTCTGCGAGTGATTATCCACCAAGAGCAAGCAGGAAGCACGGCTGTCAATTGTAGATAGAAAAATGAAAGCGACAGAGACTTCGAGGTGCAGGATATGCAGTGGGACAGGGGTCTTGGCTAAATTGCAGGAAGTGCGATGTTCAAGCTCAGTGTGATTTATTCTTATCATTACAGAAATTATTCCTCTCCGATTGTTCTGTAGCCAACACTAACAGGGAATGGGGAGCTGGAGCTGGAAGACTCCTCTGCTGGTGATTACTCACTGGCTTCTGTAGTCAAACTTTGGGGCCACATGCATACTTAAAAGGTTTAAAGCCTTGTTTCTTTGACTGTTCCCTTGGGCAGACACTTTAAGTGTAAGAGCTTATGTTCAGTGTTCTTGGCAGTTGGCACCCTACAGACCAGTTGTTCAGGTCCTAAAAACAGCACTGGCATGCTTAGTGGCCCCAGCAACTGGTGTACAATCTAAAGATTTCCACAGATGTTGAGAATCCGCTGGTTGCTGTTTTCCTCCATAAGGGTACATAACCATGACAGCTTCACAAGTTTCTGCCCTTCAGGTGTTCATCATCACCTCCGTAGCAACGAATCTGTGAGCGTTCCTACTCTGTTTCCATAATTTAAATGAACCATTGAAATGAGGTGGGTGTGTTCACGTATTTCTCATATGTCCATTGTTAGTATTTTACTGGATATACTATCTATAATTATAATTTATTTTATTTTATAAGGCTGGTAATGAACACACAGAGGCCAGTCGTTTTTTTCAAGCTGGTCTTGGAACTGAATGTCTGTACACCAAAGCACATATCCACACACACTGCTATTCTCCACTGGGATCAGAGCCCCAGCGGCCCTTAGCCCTTAGCCTAGGCCTTTAGACCAAAAGATTTCCCTCTAAATCATACTTCTTAGGCTGTTCAGTGAGTGAGAAGGAGCTTTAAGGTCAAGAGCAAATATTTTGTTTTTTCTTGACTGAAACAGTTGCTCCTATCATGTGACCCTCTAAATCAGCATTAACAGTCCTGCAGGTAAGCAGCATTTAGGCGGGGGGAGATTTCATTACAGGGAACCTGAAAGCCTGCCATGGGGCAGTTTTCTCCAACATACCCTTGCAGTGTCAGGTAAGGTTGCTAACAATTCATGAACATCCACAGAGTTTTGTGTTGTTTGCCAAGGATTTGCAATTTTATAGCTATCATACAGGCATATGCTAAATCATCATATTCACATAGCAGGCTACGTATTGTTTATCCTATATGATAGCTGCTGTCTTAGAAGAAATAAGTCAGTGCCTGGCTCTGACTGCACAGAGCTACGCAGGAAAAAGAAAAAAATAGTGGTCTTGATGTGAAAAAATATTTTCTTTTTTCATGAAACATGATGAAGTCATAGAAACTATTATCTTATGAAGAAAATGTGAGCTTTTTTGACCCACTGGATATGAAAGTTAATAGGATAAGATTTAATTAGCACAACCAATGTAAGCAAACAAGAATGCAGGGAAGTAATAATTTATTAAAGTATCGGGATTCTTTGGAGGAGTCAAACTTGGAAATAAAGTATTGCATCAAACTTGAACTTAAGTAGTCATTTTCATGCTAATCATTCAACCATGATTTATTTTTATTTGTATCTAATCTGTTTGTAGTTCTTCATGCATATTTCTCTCTTTAGATTCATAACTAAATATATATTCCAAATGCAAAGATTTTGGCTTTCATAGAAGTGCAGATAAAACTTAATGTACATTTATTTTATGCATGACAAGTATTTTAACTAAAACTTCACTTGTTTTTCTTAAAAGATGCCAGTGGTACATAAAGGCTAAAATGAAATCCGAAGAGAAAAGAAGGACTCATTTGCAAAATGGACATTGTAAGTAGTTCAACACTGTATTACATTATATCTATATCATGTTTTAAATGAAGAATGTTCATTGTTTTCTGTACAGCTTTTGCCCTTGATGTTTTAACCTGGCCATTTGCATAGTTCCTTATTGTCTGCACCATCAAGGGTGTTTATTTCTATTTGTATGTCCTCTTGAACAATTTCACTGAATTCACTCTAGTTAATAAGGTTTTATTGGTATTCTATTAATAATATTTATCAGTTTTTCATATTTCTTTGAATTCTCAACTGGTCTAGACCATATTGAATTTCTGCCTCAAAATTCCTCTCTGGGTGACTATGTGCCTTATTTGTATCCAGTTCTCTTTGGCTTTAGGGATCTACACTTCCAGCCACCCAAGAAATAAAAAGTGGAATGGGTTGCCTTCCCTCATGTTCCTGCTCACTGATCAGTACAGTGAAAGAAAATCCTGGCAATCTCTCATGGGCAGTATATTAGTTTATTTAGTTTAGTTTAACTACTTAGTTTAAATTACTAACCTCACTGTTTTATGTTAGAATAGCTATTTAAAGTTTTTATTTATTCAAAGGGTATTATACAAAGGGTATTAAATTTTTTTTTTTTTGGTCATTTTTGATAACTTCCGTGGAAATAATATGATCAAGACAGAAGTTAAGTCACCAGAAGTAAAATCTTTTTTCAGGTGACACCACTATATGCAGCCAAGTGGCTCTTTCTGTCAGGGAAAAGGGCACATTTCCCCATAAAGGATACTTCCTGGGAAGATTTGTTTGTCATTTGTTTCCAAACATGGTCAGAAAGGAAAGAAGACAAAAACCTTCCTGCTGGAGAGTTTGATATATGCCTCTGAGACCGTGACTGAATTTGAGAAAAGCCTCACTCAGTGTCTTTCAGGCCAGGGTAAATGATGACTGTATTTCATGTTGACACAAAGCTTCAACTCAGGGGCTTCTCATTCATTTGCAGTTATGTCAGCATCAGACTTGAGGGGGCAAGTCTCTACTCATGTATGTGCTCCACAGAACCAAGGATAAAGAGGAATTACTGTGATTTACCCCAGCAGCTAAAACTGTATTGCCAACAATACTCCCTCCTTTACACTGAGCACTCAGCACCTCCATAAGAAGTACCTCCTTCATGCTAGCAGCAATATCTGACTGCTGACTACCTATAGATTTCGTATCCAGCATCTCAACTTGAAACAGTATGTGGGGCTGCACAGTCTCTGCTGGGATCAGTATAAGGGTAACCTCTCCTAGACTGGCTGCAGCTGTTTAAAAAAAAGCTCCACTGCAAAACCTGCACTGGTTAGCATCACCTGTTCCTGTTCCCAGGTTCGTCCTGTCCATGCTTTACATCCTGTGCTTCTGCTGTGTGCGGAAGAAAACCGCCTCCTGTTCATCCCTCCTCTCTCCCTTGGCAGCTCAGTGTGAGTCAGAGGAAGATTTCAGGAAATAAAACTCTTTGAAGGGAGTTAGAAAGGGGTCCATGATCTTGCTGATAATATGACATCCCATGATGTCTGGTGTCCTCCCCATTTCTGTATGGTGTGTGTACTCTATCAGCAGTGGTCCAAATGGCTGTTGCACACTACTTAAGGAAGCCCAGCCACATTCATGTATCCTGAACATGTGTTCTTCACCTAATGCATTTAGGCTCATCAGATAATGAGCTGCTTTAGACTCAGCTACTAAGTGATAAGAGGAAGAAGGCTGAGAGGTACTTAATTCTTTTAAAAGAGATTCTCTGGACCCAGCTGCAGTATCCTCCTCTTATCCTGATAAGTTGATGCATTATCTATATCAACTTCTGTTCATGAATTGAAAGTTTTCCAGAACCTAATCACCACATGGCAGCAGCCTAAAAAAAATCCCATCTCGATAGTCCAAGAGAAACAACATAAGTTCTTGGACATGCCATACTCAAGAACACGAGGGACATTAGCCATGCCAGAAAATGATGGCTTGCTGGAGCCTGCCAGAGCAATCTGGCACCAACCCACTATTGCCATGGCCATCTCCAAGGAAGCAGACAGAAATTATCGAAGCCTTGTGAATGGATTTGGGTATTTTTGTTCTTGTCTTGCACCTGGCTCTCTGGTTGTTCAAGCTGATCAGAAGAGAACAAAACAGCACAGTCTTCCAGGACCCATCCTCAGAGAAAAGGATCTCAAAGATTGGACCTGTTTGGCAAAAGGAATGTTCAGCCATCCACCCGTAAATGAAAGGAGTGAATTAGAAAACACTGTTTTCAGAGTAAAGGACAGATTGCCTAAATTGACCAAGGAGCAGCAAAGGGGAATATAAACTGCTTTGGCAGTAATCACTGTTAGTCTTCAGGATCTGCTTTTCCCCGTATCTTTGAGCCCTCACTTGCTGTCTTGGTAGACACCCTTTCAAGTGACCAGCTCAGAGCTCATATTTTCTCTCGTGACTTGCTGCATTTTCCAGATTTACCAGCTGTACTTGAAGCATTCGTTAAGGATGTGAGCTAAGTGCAGAGAGTCCAAGGAGCCTCTTCAGACTAATATACTAAATAGCATTTGGAAAGGAAATGCTTACAATTAAAAAAAAAAATCTAATGTACTTTATCTTACCCAAAATAGCATTTTCCTTAAAACTTAGCTAGGGCTGTTATTTTTTGCTAAGGAGAAGTTTCCAAAAACTTTATTGTCCTCTTAATTTTCCTGCCTGAAATGCTATACCTCAGGAGATGCTTGTGTTCAGCTGGACAGAGACAAAACAGCCTAAGAGTTTGACACTATCTTATCAGTTGAATACCAAAGACTGAGTTTTCTAAAGGCCTTTGACTTTTTGTTCCTGTGGGACAGGATAAACTCTGGGACCTGTGTAGCTAGCAAACATGACAGTAACTAGAGGTATAAATAACATTCAGAGAACCTAATACCCATATTTCCTCCGTTCTTTACACTAATACTGTTTATCAGTTATCATTGCAAGCTGAAAGGATGTTTGATGTAACAATGCACTGCAGCAATCCTGAAGAAGTATCCATGTTTTCAGTCACTCAGAACATCTCAGAAGATTTGAGCAGGGTCCAGCAGGACCTTGCTCATAGTTCAGCCAGTACTTTTGAATTATTTTGCTAGTGTTGGGTTGGCAGAGACTTATCCTCTGTCTATGGAGTTGTAACACCCAGCTCTTTAATATCTCAGATGCCTCACCTAAAAAAGCCACTTGAAGGATAAGAGGAAATGCTTACATCTGTGCCCAGTCAATCTTTGAAGGCCCTGGTGCTGCCAGCAAATGGGGACAACTCATGTGCATTCTACAGTTGGTTTCTGTGAAATCAGTAGCAAGCATTAATAATTTTGGGTCATTATCCTCGTCTGTTGGGTTCTGGAACTTTAAATGTGGAAGATTTAATATTTTATTTCCAATCCTTTCAATTGTCTAGTCAACCAAAAAAAAAAAAAAGAAAACCATGTTGTTACAGTGCGTGAATGTCAAAGAATGCTTGATTCCTAGTGTTTTCTCTTTTTTGCAGTACGTTTCCCAGGAATCAAAACATATATTGATCCAGACACGTATGAAGACCCATCTCTTGCTGTCCATGAGTTTGCAAAGGAGATAGATCCTTCAAGAATTCGTATTGAGAGAGTTATTGGGGCAGGTAAAAGTACACCCACTTTAAAAAATGTCTACGCATGGATTTTTTTCAAGTCACCGTGATAATGCAAGTATAGTACAAAATGTGGGCATATTTCTCTCATAGCACCAGTTCACTCTCAAGTGTGGTGTACATGAGGTATTGTGTTTGGCTAATATTCCAAACGTGGGTATATTCAAATAAGGAGTTCTTGAGAGGCAGATTCTCCTAAGCGATAGGTTTATCCCAAACCTTTTTTAAGGCTTTATCAATTTTTTGGGTAGGGTTGGATTTGGGGTTTTGTTTGTTTGTTTGTTTCTTTGCTTTGTTCCAAATGTACTCAAAACACTGCATCACTCAGCATTTGCCATAGTGTCACATATTCTCTGTCATTGAGGGGGAGATTAGGATTAGATCAGAATTTCTTTCTGGGGGGAGATAAAATCAGAATATAGAAGACTGAGCAAAAAATATTCTCAAATAGAAAATAGGAGCAGTACAAGGGGGAAAAGGAGAGGCTGGCTTGGGACAGGTTTTCCTGTAGCTGTGCGGAGGACGATCATTGGCAGAGGGGGGAAGAGGAAGCTCTAATGAGAAGGTGTAGACAGTATGTGGAGCTGGGAAGCAGTATGAATGGGGAAGATAGCTGCAGGTTCTCCTCTTACATCCCTGTTTCTTTGTCCAAGTGTGTGGTGGGGACAAAGACTTACATCTGAACAATTGTTTTAGACACTGTTCTCATCTATGGGGTGTTTACCTTCAGCTGAGAACATCTCATTGGGGGATGAAGGCCATTTCACAGCTGTTTGAAAATGTTTCAGAAGCTCATTAATTCTGTATGTATATTGGCCTTTTTTTCTAAGGAAGATAATATGTCCCTTGTATTTTCAGGTATCTTATGCTTTGCTAATGTGCTATGTTTATAGGCAAGTCTAGTCTGCGCATTAAGTGTTATCCCTTTGCCTTAGCTTTGGTTTAATTGTCAGGTTTTGCTACTCAGGAAAGTGCTGTGCAAGTGTTCCCATGCATTCACTTTTGGAAAGCCTTTGTAGGGATAAAGACTCATGGCTGCTGTCTGTAGAGTTCACTAGAGGTCCTGGTGGGAGCTCAATGGTGACGGAAAACACACCTTTGTGGTTAACACAACAAAAGTGAAATACTTGGAAAGATCAGAGCCTTGTAAAACCATTTCTTGTAACTGGTGTCCTGACTCTCTAGGGCAGATAGCATTTCATTATTGACCAGGTCCTGAGATTGTTTGTTCTCTGTTTTACCCAGTTGTAGTTCACTGAGGACTTAGAGAGGCAAGGCTAGAAAAGGGCCTTACAAAGTTACCTAACTAGTGGATCTCAATGCATGGCTTGTGACCAACATGTCATTCAGAAGGCCCACCAACATTTCTCACAGTTACATCAAATTGTTATAACACAGTTAAAACAAAAAAACAGACTGACAAGGAGAGTCTGAAGTCCCTGTGGTGCATTACATCCTCTGTGTTGTTACCCACACAGTGTCAGTGGCTGGGGAGCATTAATCATTTCTCAGCCCCAACAGAAAGGGAAGGTGGGAGAGCTAAGGGTCTGTGTCAGAAATTTTGATGAACATAGAAACAGAATCCTGAGCTCTAATTCCAGCTCTGAAATTTAATTTCTTCCTGTGAAAGACATTGACACAATACCTGTCTTCAGTTTACACAATATGGATATTTATCTGTGTCTTTAAGGCATTAAGAGTGACCGAGTTTTGTAAATTGCTGTCTTAAAGGTACTTATAATACTGACTACACAGATGTTTTGTCTTCACCTCAATATAACTTTATTTCAGTAGCAATAATTAGTATGTTCCATACTCCAATGCCCATCTTTGAGCTATCCATTCTGGGCTTTGTTTAACAATACTGTTTTATTACTTACTAAGTAAATGCCAACACACAAACGCCTTTTTTTTAACCTTATTTACTTTCCCTAACTTTAATACCATCAAGAAAAAAATAAAATAATTCACAGTACAGCAGATTGCAAAAATCAGAGTTACATCTTGTAATGAAGGTCAGTGGAAAAAAAAATGATTTAAATTCGCGCATAGTGAGCGCACCAAAAAACTCATGCTAGCAAGTACTGTCAGAAAAATTACTATCAGAAGACATAACATACTATGATCCTTCTTTTTTATCTTTGTTTCATATATCTTAGTCACTTGAGAAAGGAGAGGTATTTTTCAGTTGAGATCCCTCATTTAATGATACGTTACTACAATGATAGCAATGGAAATGTTTCCAGTGTTGCTAAAAAGTGTTTTATGCACTAGAAAATGTCATGCAAATAATATAACAGAAATAAAACCTGGTCTGTTAACAAACAGGGGAGAGACAGTATCGACCTGAAAGTAAGAGAGAAAATTCTGTTTCACGCTGCAGTCCATATCGCTAGAGTACTTTAGAGTTTACCTGATTGCTTAAGCTAGATAATATGTAGCTGGCACTGTGCACCATTGGAATTATGAGCTTGAGAGAGGCCCCAGAGGGCTGACTTCTGCAGAAAACGTTCTATCTGATTTCTTTTATTTCTTCCTTTTCTTCAGACATACTATAGATACTGATGTCTTAGATTATAAAGCATATTGAACTATATTCAGCACTGGTATAACTGCTGATTTCAAAGGAGTTGAATACAACAGACAAGGATTGAGCTTATTGATTTTGGTTCAGATGAAAATTGTGTCCTTATTCTCAACTTAATTCATTTATGAAAATTCTTTATTCAGCTTCTCTTTTCCTTTTCTTGTATGCATGGGAGTGAATTTTTGCCTGCTTTGACATATTTTTTTAAATATTTTTTTTATCTTCTAAAATTACTTGGGTAATCTGCTATCTTCAAAGATATTTGCCTAGCGGGACTTGCAAACTGGTTGCAATGAAGTTTAAACCCATTTCCATGCAGGCAAGATACAGGTTAAATACCATGCCTGAGGCACGGAGAGTACAAATTCTCATAGAGTTCTTTGATAGCTGCTAGGGGACATAACATGTCATTATAATTCACAGCAGTTCTAAAATGTTCTTTACGCCTTCTCTCTAATACTGTATTAAACATTGCAACCAATATAAAATGGATTTCTTATCATAGGAGAATTACTTTAAAAAGATGTTTACAATGTTCACTTAAGTAAAACAAAAAGTTAAAATCTTTTACAAAATGAAACATTAAAATCTTGTAAGAAGTGAATTAATAGATGCATTTCTTAAATTTGTTTTGTTTGAACATTTAAATTTGATCAATGATTTTCATTTTGAATTTCTGTAACTTCAATTTTTCAAAACAAAAATTATTTCCATTCAAAACTAAAAGTTTTCATTTTGAAATTGTCAAAGTGGAACACTGCAAGTATTTGAAATGTTTTTTCTAGCATTTCTGGTCAAGAAATTTTTGAAACTGATCTTTTCCTGAAAGCAGTTTCCAATTTGGTTTTTCAATGGAAAAAGTCATGTCCAAAAGCTCTTGACAATTCACTAGTTGTAGTGCAGGTGGCTTTGACACTCAAGGCAAGTGTTTTTTCTAGTTTCTTTCAGCTTACCTAACTCTGTACCCAAGTTATCTTTTGAAGTATTTGGTAATTATAATCTTGCATGATATGAATTGGAAATGTACATTATATTATTTGCTGCAGAGTAATCTATCTGAGGATACCATCAAATCAGAAGTAGTATTTTCAACTAAAGCTACTGATTATCTCATTTCTCATTACAGCACTGTTAAAAGTTAAAATCTCCTAACCATTCCACTTACCTCAGATACACATACACTATAGATTTGAAAAACAAAGACTTCCTATTTATTATTTTTGTCCTATATTTCAGTCTCTGCTTAGAAGTGCAAAATCTAAGAGCCGCTGAGTGAATTTACCTACTTACACTCTGTTGTAAAGATACATCTGAATGCTGCACAAGACACCAGGATTTCTCTGCAATCATTTATTAGCCATGTTATACAGACAATTTGGTCTGCTCCTTTGGTGCCAAGTACTAGTAACATAAGGGTAGTACTACATGATGTAAAAAGAGAGAGCAAATATCAAAAATTGTTGCTTACACACTGACTGCTCCACATAATGTTTTTCCATCAGAAACTAAACAGGTTCAGAGAATGTGACAACAAATGGTCAAATTGAAAAAGTAGCAAGATCTTCAAGCAGTAACAGCAGATTGGAAAATAGCCTTTAGTAGTTACAAAGTTCAAGATGACACTTGGCTTGCAACAGTCAAAGACATCATAGCCAAAATAAAAAGAGACTGCCTATACATGTAGTTGTAGATTTAATAAACATTCCTATTGCAAGTTCATATCATTAGGCAGGTAATAATAGGAAATGCAAAGCAGCAACAATTTAAGAATGGATGCCGAGCTCATGAGATTACTTTGAGAAAAAATGAATTAGTGCAATCTCTTGTTGAAATCCTTTTTAAAGTCCTCCTAGTGGACATTTACTGAGCTTATGTTTTTGAATGCAGCCACTATATTCTATGGAGCCAGTTAGCTGAAACTTTGATCTCAGCTCTCCCAGTCTTCCCCTCTGGCATGCTTTTGGTGTTACAGTACATCTGCAAACTCTCTGAATTACTATCCTTCCTTCTGGTGCTTTGAAAAATTAGGCAAGTAAAATACAGACTTTGCAAAGTCCTTTCTAAATTGTTCATGCTTTACTTACTCCATGTGTAGACGCAAGAGATCTGCATTAAAGTAACAATATCTGCACATAAATCCAGACTCAAGGTGGATATGTAGTCAGGTTACTTCCCCTGAGTGGCTTTCCATCATGTCCTAGCTTACATCTGGTTCATCTGAGAAAAAAATAGTTTTGTAGACCTTTTGATTGAATGAAAGATTATCCAGGTTAATAGCTGTTAATGGTCTCTTTTGTTAGTCTTCGAATAACTTCTGCTGGTATCTTGGTTCAAACTGGAGGGTAAAGGCAGTAGGGGAAACAGTTTGCAACCAAAATGGAAATTGCAGTTTGATCAAATATTCATAATAGCAAGCAGATTACAATACCAAAGGCAAAACAGAACCTATTTGTAAGTGCTTAGCTTATGTTTCTCATGGTAACATCAACCAAATAAACAGGTATTAATGAAGTTCACATTCTAGCAATAGTTAGTTTAACTGGTGAAACTGATTAGTCTATTCCCTTTTATTTTATGATGAAGTTTTAATACTGTTTAATTTGATATTGTATATTCTTGGATTCAAAACTCCTGGATGAGTTTTTTTTATCACTAGTATTAAATATTCCATGAGATCTCCAATTTGTTCATTGGAAAGATCACTGGGTGCCTTTTTGCCGGTTCCCACAATTTGCCGTCTATTCATTGCTGTAGATTTTCTTTAGATGGTCCCTTTCAGCCACTCTTCATATTGAGCTTGCTGCACCTACTGACATGTTACCATATCGTTTAATTTTGTCCTGCCCATGATACTTTTTTCTGCCCCATCACTTAAACCATGCTCTTTGGTTTAAGGCTTCAGCACCTCTTCATGGAAGGAATTCCCAGAGGTACTTTGTCAAGTCTGTCTTAAAAGTTACAATTATCCTCTTATTTTCTTTGTTAAAATGTTGAAACTCAAGGAAGAGGCCAACTCTTCAATTTTTCACAGAGAGTACACTATATTCTTTTTATAATCTAAATCTTCTGCCAGTTCTCCCACAGGTCGAATGACTAAAACTGGGGAAAATGAGTTGAGCTGTATTTGGTGCTGTGACCTTTCAGTTTATCAATAGCAACTGTCTGTGTTGTAAGACATTTGTTTTGATCCCATGTAGTAATACCAGACTGCATATCAGACTTTTAAGTGACTGACTACTCCTGTTTCATTTTAAATAACACATATGTTATGACTGAATGAGAAAAGGGATGCGTGGTTTGCACAGGGTAAGTTTCTAGACTGCTCAATTAGCTTCTTTTTGTACAACATACAGTAAGATGTGTGGGGTTTATATCATTAAACCAGGGTTTATTTACACTTTATTAAAACTGAACAGTCAATGAACTCTACCTTTTCTCTAGTTATCACCAGCTTTTTCCCTGGAGCAAGGAAAGATGTCGACTTCTTTGACATCTGGCTCTTAGCTTCTACTTATTACACATGCAGTCATGAACCTTTACTGCTGCAGGGTCAACATTTTGTCTTGTTTATCTTCAAACTTGAGCAATGAGACAGATTCTTAGATTTTAAAAATCCCTTTTGATGAATACATTCCCCTTTGACTTTAAAAACATTCAAAATTCTTTATCTGAACAACAGTGGAGAAAAAATACTCTGGGATGAAATCGTGTCAAACTCTTTCTCAGTGTAAATAGTTCAATGCTTTAAATTATATCATTGATCTCCATCTAGTCTAAACCAGAACTAGAAGTTATTACACATACCTTAGATTTCTAAATGTAGTAGCTGTCTGTTCTGTGAGCCGATGATCGCTTACTGTCTGTTTGACATGACATCACAAAAAAATTGCTGTTGTTAGTCTTTATGTTCACCAGTTTATCAATCCCAATATCCAAGGGGAGTGAAATTTCTTTCTACCTGTACAAATCATGCATCCAAAAAAGGGCAAAAAAACAGGTCAGGGAGAAGTCATGATGTTCCTTCCCCTGCTTTGGATGTTGTACAGATAATAAATCTTGGGATTATAAGTCCTTCACTTGCCTCCTTCGGTTTAATTCATTTCAAAACACTTGATGAACAGCCCTTTACAGTCCCTGAAGTATGAATGCCATTATATCTGAAATTCTGAAGTTGTAGTACTCTATTGTATAATCTTATAATAGCAAAATGATTTATTCTATAACCTATGCTTTCCAAATTATTCTCAAAAATGAGATTTTGCAGTTCTGCAGATTTATTGATCTTGAAATCTCTTTAAAAATCTGGATATTAAGGCTCAAGTATTTTTGCTTTTCACTGTTTCATCAAGAGAAAGAAATCGGAAATTTTGCTCATTTTAGGCATTTAAGTTTGAAAAGCCAGTAAGATGCAATAATGTCATGGCTTTAGAGATGTGTTCTAGCACTGCTGGATGTATCACAGAATAGAAGATTGATATACCATGTCTCCTTCAAAACATTCAGGTTTCATGACTTTGTTTTATGGTAGGACTTTAGAAGTCCAGATTAGCTACTACTTTTTCAGTGGCAGTAGTCAGGCAAACAAACTTTTACAGAGAGCTTTCTAAGAGCTAAAGGGGCAAAATCGTATAGGAAAATCCCTACCCAACTTCCCCTTTTGTCAAAAGTTTCCCAGAGCATTAGTCTGATGACATATGTTTTCACACATACGCACACATCTTCAGGGAAGCACATGCTTTGATTTATTTTTAAAAATTATGTAGAAATAAAACAAATGGGTGGTTTTTTGGTAGAAAGAAGACCTAGGACACTTGGCTTTTCTTAGCTGTTTAAGAAGCTGCTAATTTATTCAGAGGTTATATTCAGCATCTGTTAATGGTACTCTTGCACTTGATGATGTATCTGTTTTGAAGTGAAAAACAAGCTATGAAATTGTTTTCTTAATCCCTCCACTCTTCCTGGATCTTATTGGCTAATGAAACCTTGTTTTATTTTAGTGGAAGCAACAGAACCTAATGAAATAAAGGCTGCATGGCAATATCCATTCTAATCCTATAACATCAGGGAGTTATAATTTTCTGAAGTGAAGCTTCTGTCTTTAAGGATCTCTCTTCTAGATTCAGTTCATATCTGAAGACACTGTTACAGGATAGAGCTCTCATTTTATTTTGTTCTGTCCTTAAAGTTTAAGGAAAACTAATTCAGACAGCACTCAATGGAGGCAGTAACAAATTATTTCCTCCAGTTAAATATATATCTGTTTATGACTCATTTTTTGTTTTTCAACAGTTCTGATTCCAAAATGACTGGGGTAGAGAATTTAGTTTTGCTATGGAAGTACCCTGCACTGAGAAGCACTTTGAAATATTTTTGTGAACATTGTTTTTCATTTACTGAATTATGACCCATTGAAAACTGACCTGCAGGCATCCAGAGTATATTTGGTAGGGGCTATAAATGACTTTTGAGTGACTTCAAGATCAAAGGAAAGTTGTGATACAAACTTAATTAGTAAATGTGTAAAGGGAATGTGAGGAGACACACATTCTTCAAAGGCCCTTACATACACAGGAAAACATCAGGTGAAGCAAGCTTTGAGATTCCTTTCGTCATGCAACTCAGTCCTGATTTGCTGAAACTGTTGGCCTTTGGCTGTCTGAACAGTGAAATATGTAATTAATTTCAAGTAGGTGTGTAAATCCATTTAAATAAATCATGTGCGAGTGCTTTTCTGGGGCATAATAGCATTATAAGTACATTTTAATTGTTTTCTACAATTGGAAGATAGTCAGGTATTCTGATATTCTCACAGCATTTCTTTTCATAGAGGTCTTAGTGCATGACACCCCTATAGATAGATATTGCTATAAATAGATATTTTAGATAGATATTTTGTCATCATTAGAATTAAAATCTAAGTGTCATTACGTTCCTTCCTCATAGCATGCTCAGTTATATCACAAGCATATTGATACCAAAGTTCAGCCTCAAAGTGTCAGTAAAGCAAGATGAACCACACTGTGGAGGGCAGATGGTTTGGTTGTTGCAGTGAAAGTACAAGTCCCCATGATCTTGTGGTGTGGCACAAAGGAAAGGTGATTATTTGTTGTGAAGTAATGCTGAATATTTTGCTTTTCCTGGATGTGATGAAACTCGGGAACTTGAGTATCCCATCCATTATTTCTCCATCCACTTCTACGGGATGTGTGAGTTTCTTGAATATTTTTGTGTTCTTGTTTCATTGACAGCTACAAATAACTCAGAACTATTAAAAAAGACAGCTTTTAGACAGCTATTGAAGGTTATTTTGAAAAATAAGGTCTTTAAGTTCAGCAATACAAACTGTGCTGTAGTTCTTCAGGTACTATGAACGATCTAACAAATATTTTATCTATTTAAGGTGAGTTTGGAGAAGTATGCAGTGGGCGTCTGAAGACACCAGGAAAAAGAGAGATACCTGTTGCAATTAAAACTCTAAAAGGTGGCTATGTGGACAGGCAGAGAAGAGATTTCCTGAGAGAGGCTAGTATTATGGGACAATTTGATCACCCAAATATAATTCGCCTTGAAGGAGTTGTTACAAAAAGTAAGTTTCTATTAATAGCTTTTTTGGTTTTTTTCTCATTCCATGTCATTTAGTATCAAAATTACACATTACTTCCACATTCAATATGGATTGCAATTCTCAGAAATTATCCAAATCATAAAGTGCAGCAGAAACTGCAGAGTTTGGGACCATAATAGGAAATTCATAGCCTATCTGTTTTCAATTAGAAATGTTTTATTTTTATTTTTTAATAAAAATCCTCCTCATTCAAATAAAGTCTTTACAGGTTCTTATGAAATAGCACTGTAGAGTTTGCTTATAGGCAAGTGGAATACAGTAGAGAAAGCCATAAATGTAACTGAGTTGACAATGAAGTCAAATCATTGTGTCAGGTAGCAACTATAGTCTTCTTTTCCCACAAGCACTCACTCTTTATTTGGTTGTGGTTTACTGATTTTAGTATTTCCTGTTTTAAAGAAATAAAATGTAAACTCTCTTAAACTTATTGTATGCTTGCAAATGATTCACTAAAATTCCAGAATAATCTATGAAATGTCTTACTCTTTATACCTATTGCAGCTGCCAAGAGATATCCCTTGTCTCTGAAATGTAGCGTTTTTAGTGGGGTTATGGGCTTTTCTGAAATGCTGAAATATCTAGTTATCATTTAAGTATTAAGTAAAAGTCTTACTAACATGCATGTAATTTTTTTAATGCCAACTTTTTGCGGTAATGAATTAAAAAATTCATAAGTTACACTCTTCTCAAAATTAATCGTTGCCTCAACTAAGCCATGTTGTTTGCCGATTTGCAGTACTCATATTTTTCTTTTAAAGATCAAGTGTTGTGTGTATAAAACAATGATGTCCTCTTACCACCACAGTAAATACAATACATGTTATGAATGTTTCCTGTTTTCACCTTGTTACAATATCAAAAGCTATGTTTGGAAAACACAATGTACTAGAACAAAGAGGAAATTATAGCTCCTAACTCCTGTCATTGGAATGGAATTACAATAGGTTTATGGGATGACCTTGTTCAAATCTCTCTCTCTGAGGTTCTAAATTAAGATGAAAAGGATCTTTTTTTTTTTTTCCACACAGTATTGCAAGAATAAATTCATTATTATTTAGGAATGTTTGGTTACGAGACTAACAGAATCCATTACGTTGCAGACTTCTGGAAAGATATGGCTTAGTCTCCTCCATTGCTTTCCTGTCAGTTACTGCTCTGCTGACAACAAACAAGAACACGAGTTAATACTGGCTGAGCAGCATTGGAGATCTTTGTCAAGAGATGAAATATGTAGGAACTTAATTGAATTTAGCTCCTTGCTTCATAATGAGCAGCATAGCAGCAATTAAATTCCACCAGCCTTCACCAACATGGGCAGTTTGTGAACCAGTATCACAGGTATGACTAGGATCCATGTGGTAGATCTAGTAGTGTATGTCTCATTTCTGAAAAAGGCTAATGGCTGTGATTCACAAACATTGTTTGAATCCAATTAGATGGTGCACACAGAGTACAGTATAATGTACTTGGCAATAGCATAATTGTTTAATCTTTGCCACATTTATAAATTTTCTTTCTGTAATGTCTCATCATCGGTCTAGAGAGAAATGAAGATTGCATTAAGAAAACAGAAACAAACAGATAAATCAGTGCTCCAACATTAGAATATTTCTTCCTGTTCTACAGTAAAAGTGATTATAGACAACCTTAAGTCAAGAAGTCATCATTAGCAGTTCTGCTTTTCTCTAAGGAGTCAGCAAACTTTATTATTGTTTTTGGAATGTTTGCCTAGAGGTAATATAAAAATAGTAGGTGTTACTGTTATAGTCACACTGTCCTATAAAAATAGGCATCTCTTTCAAATATAAAATAAGTAGAAGAACATCTGAAAGAAAATATTTTTGGTCAGGCAGGTTTAAAAAAAATAAAAAAATTATACAGCAATAATTATAGAATCAAAAAAATATTATGAGTTATCAACAAATTTTACCCTAAGACATGGAAAGTGCAAGTTATATAAAGTGTAAAGGACAAAGTTGTGCAGTACTGCTCTGCTGCAGGGAAGAAGCTAGGAGGCAGGCTGAGCAATGGACACACGCACTCTGCTATGCTCCTCTTTTGCCAGTTTATCTTTAGGATGTTGCCTTGCATTTACACTGCCCCATCTGTGGTATTTAGAGAATAACATGGCTTCATCTGGGAGCAGAGCATTTACCTTGCACCTCACTAAATCCTAAATCTAGGATTGCACAAGCCAACACGGGACCGAAATTTCCTATAACTAAAAGGTGTGTTGTAAAAATGAGACAGAACCTTGTCCTAGCCAAATTATTTATGTAATGATAGCATGATTAAAAGGTGTTTTGTGTTAAGGCTTAGATTAATAACAGCAGAAACTATTTATCTGGTGTGCATTACAGTTCCACTAACCTATAAAGGCACATCGGATGCAGTAAATTTGATTAATAGACATGTAATGCTGTTCTTAGCACATGCTTTCCTCTTTGTAACCATTAGTCATTAACTTCTAGCAGTTGCTGATATATATTGCATCAGTTTGTAAGCAGTACCTTCCACTACAGTGTCATTGACTATTGAACAAAAAAGAAAAAGGATTTGATTGTAATAAGCAGAAGTGCTCTACCAAGTCAATAGCTATTGACTGTGGCAATAACAAATTTGCCTGTTCATTACAAATGAGAGCCTTTATCTGGTGCTACCAGCTAAGCAGATGTTAACTTTTAAATGATACTGTTTTCAAAATTGCTATGGAATATGTACAGTACAGGATGAAAAAATGCTAAACTAAGCCTGCTCAGAAGTAGGTCTGAAACAGAGTTTTAATCCCCTGTTCTGATTGCTTCATTTCTCACTTGTCCTAACTGCTATCCCTAATCACAGAGAGTGGTAGGCAGAACAGTTGCTGTAGCACAAGCTTTCTGTTAGCAGAGAGTTCATTTCAAGGGCAATTTGCCGGGCCAAGGCAAATACACCGTAGCTCAGAATCTGGATCCAATAGTTAGCTTATATTGCTAATCAGAAGTCATAAGGGAAACTTTATTCCTGTTTGGTTTGTTTTAACAACACCATTCCTTGCATGGTTTGCCACAAAAGGCTGTTTATTGCCTTGCAAATTGATGGGAGTTGCTTAGGCACTTCATAAAAACATCCATGTTTCCCTTTCAAGTCATATTAGCACAGTGATAATTTTGGGAGCTCTTCTTGGGTGTGTCAGGGCATGCTCAGCCGAGTTGTATGTCATTGTCCAAGCTGCTGCTATTTCATAAACAGGTATAAGAAAAATAAAGCTTCTTTCTCCAGGGTGAACGTATGTAACCAACATTGAGAACTGGGCTATATAGAAGTAAGACATGTCTTCCACTTCGACATCATGTTGAAGTCTGCGTTGCAGACTTGCCATGAAAAGTCTGCGAAGTAAACTAAAGGTAGGCTTACAGCAAACACCTGCCAACACAACTATATCTACAAGAGACATGAAAAAATGGTCTCTGACTGTTGCAACTGTACTGGAAGAAATCATTGGTGTTACACTAGCCAAACTGGAATCTATAGTTAGTTTAGCTTGATGGTATCTTACACAATAGTTTAAAGCACAGCCTTGTCAGTACTGTGTAATACTGTGTCAATACAAAATATCAATGCATGCAAGGGCTTTATTGTAGTCATAATCTTAGTTTGTTCCTCTCCCCCTCAGACTTTACCCCAAATAACTTTCAATTGTTAAAATTAATTTCTAAGGAATTGCTTCAATTTCTGAACTTTGACTACTGGAGGATTTGCACCTGTCACATTTACAAGAGGAATCTTTTTAACGCATTCATTTTCTTTAACAACATTCTGTATATTGTTATTCTCCGGAAGAATTCTCAAATTAATCCCTTCACAAAAGGAGGATGAACGAAGACAGCACCTAGATTTTTGGTTCTGTGTAAGCTCACATCCCCATAACATCGAGTCTGGGTTTGGAATGACACCTTCAGCTCCCTTATTGTCTCCTCACTGTTTTGCTTTAGTGACTTTCAAATTGCGAATGCTATCACAGTTCTGAAATCTTTAGTCAGTTATCTGGCAGATTAAATTCAAAGCTTTAATCATTGAGGTTCTTTTGAATTATTGTATATAACCTGTTCAGTGCAAGAAGAGTCCGGAGGTCAGTGTACCTTGCCTTGCCCAGTAGGAAGGCAAAGCAGCAGCATGATCCGCTTTCACTACAATCTGCAGTATGTAGCTCTTCATATCTGAGGCATTTTTCTTTTATCAAAAATGCAGGAGATAACAATGAATATTTTTTTTTCAGCCAAGACATTGTGTTCTAGGCCTTTGAGCCCTTAGTGTAATGAATTTAATGTTGCCCTTTTCTCCAACCTGTTAACAGGTTGAGACTGTTAAATGGAGTTCAGAATTCATTTTGGAAGGTGACGTCTTTTGCAGTACATGTGTCTATTATACACAGCATTGTATACTTGGCTTTATGCAAAAGGATTGAGGAAATTTTGTGGCAGTGTTTGTAACATTCTTACCTTGGTCATGGATGGTGAAATTGTACTCCCAAGAAATGTGATTGTGCAAAGTTTAAATGTTGACCTTTTAAGAGTTAAGTTGTGACTATTTGAAGTAGGCTACACCATGATAGCTTACAAAATATGATTATGATTATACACCAAAAAAATGTGACCTACATTACAGTATTTATCATTGATTTCTGAAAAGTAAAACCTTTAGGGCCAACAGAAAACACATGATGTTAATAAATTCCATGTTAGCATTATAGTATTGTTTATAACCTAGAGCATAACCGATTTCAAATCTTGACATTTACTTCTGTCAGTAATCTCAGTACATCACTGAAGAAATCACTGCCATCTCCAGGCACAGATGTACCTGTTGGAGGCCAAAATGGCTTCAGACCCACACCTTGAACCCACCCCTTTCACTGGCAGGCACTTGCACCTGCCTTATGCAACATACACACAGCAGGGTATGAAGACATTACTCATCCC